GGGTATGAAAAAACACCTCTAAAGTTATAGGTGTTACCTACAAAAAATCTAAATGTTCACAAAGAGATTGCTTATAACCATTGCTTAGCCTACCTCAAGGATGACAATTAAAGATAGCCATTGAATATGCAAGAGAAAAAGGAGGAGTTGTAAGAAATATGCCTTATATTGAGCTATGACTACAAGGAAATGATACTTGTCTTGTGTAAAGCATGATTATATATATATATATATATATTAGGTATGCTACTTGCCATAAGTTTCCTTTTGTCAAAAGTGACCAATCAAACATCCTTGAATCAAAGGCTAATTCATACAATATGGCTTCTTGATTTGTTTGAAATTTGACCTTTAATTTCCCACATATTTGAAATTTGACCTTTAATTTCCCACATATTTGAAATTTGACCTTTAATTTCCCACATATTTGAAATTTGACCTTTAATTTCCCACATATTTGCCATAAAAATGAAAAATATGGGTTGAATGTGAAGAATAAATGAACGACAGGATGTTTGATCTATAAATAGTAATGTTTTGGGTGTTTTATATGTAGTTTAGAAGAGTGATTGCTTCTAAATTATTTTTATATAAATAATAAAATTGTGTTAATATTTTTTTGATATTTCAATTTTATTATATTATTTTAATTTTTTTTTAGATTTGAAATTAAGGATCAGTTTGGGGCAGCAACCCGCGCGGCGGCCGCAGGGGTCGACGTGCGGTCTGCATTTAGTGTTAAAACTCAAACACAGTTTCGGATAAGCTGACAAAACGCGCGAACCAAACGGTACGACGGCGGCATTTTGAAAACGCCGCCCGCACTTATAAACTGCCCCAAACGGACCCTTAGTCTCTCACTAATCCACATCCTCCCGGGGTTAGTTGGAACGCCAGTGTTGACAAAATACTTTCAAAAAGCAATAATTGCAATTGGCCATTTACATACAGACCACTTAATTCTTATATATTTACATATCTAACCTCTAAACTTTATTTTTTTATATTTATATCATCGAAATCTCTTATATCACACCAAAAAGACCACCATTTTAACTTTAAAAAGTGGTGCATTTTTCATGCATAGGTAAAATAACATGCATGTATATGTGTAAATACTAAAGTTTAATTGTTAGATATGTAATTGCATTGGAATTGAGTGGTATGTAAGTAAAAATTTGGATGAGCAATAATAAAATCATTTAAAAATTATTAATTCTGGCATGTGAAGAGCACGACTTTCCCTTGTGCATGGGTGTGTAAACGAGCCGAACATGAGCGAGCGTTTATCTTTCGAGCTCAAAAAGTGTGTTCGTGTTCTGCTAGTTTGGTTAGCGAGCCGAACACGAGTCATTCACAAACAAAGAGTCGTTTTGACAACCCTAATCAT